TAATACCACGACCACACAGAAGACAGGCGTGAAATAGAAGCAATTCCGTGTTTCGTCTGATGAGTGTGGTGCCGGAGGCCCTATTTTAGTCCCTTTCTCTTTACCACCCTTTCTTATAAGGACGGGATGGGAATGGGAAGTGGATTTGACGGTGGAGGAGATGCATAGGAAGGGAAAATATCCTCTTTATGTGCGTCTCCTCCTCCGTCGGATAAGGGTAGGCAACGCATGTGTAATTGCGGAAGTCTATGGGCAGCGGTTGATTGGCCATTTTGGCGGATTCAGGTGGCCGCTTGCTCGTTTGCCACCTAATGATATAAAAAAAAATTATAAATGGTTTATTCCACTTTGTTTTAGTAATATCATACTGAACGTAAAATAAAGCTTAGTCATTATATTAACAAAATAATCCAATATTTACACTAAAATCATTCTCAGTGGTTTCCGTAACAGATAAAATAAATGCCATAGGAAATCCACTGTTTATTGTCATGTTGATACATGAATTATATAACGATATAATTATTTATTTACTTGTGATAGTAGAAACTGTTAATCCTTAAGAGTGTGGCACACCTGTAACTAAACTATCGCATAACTGTTTAGTCGCGCTTTGATTCCTATGACCTTATATGGAGGTCCGCACACTCGATTTTTAGTTGTGCAACTAAACAGTTGAAGGCTGCGAAACAATCGACAATCGCACAACAGTTGTGTCACAGTTTAGTCAAAGACGCTCGCTCTAAGTTAAAAATAATGACATTGGATGGATATACAAAGGTAGAGGAAGGCAGAAGTGTGTATAGATTGAGTGTAAGGAAATATGTAAGGAGGAGTACATTCAGATATGAAAGCTCATAGAGTATAGAAAAGTGCATAGACCTACCATTAAAGCAAAAGCATTTTAAAGTAACAAAACACGTTAAGTAAGTGTCAAGTAAATCAGTAAAATGAACTTCTACTCGTATATTAAAAACGAAATACAAAATTAAATAGCACGTAACAATGAAAATACAAATCATTATTCTCTCTGGCAGCTACCACAATAAAAATGTCATAAACAACATAACCAACCATTTCAGACATATTAGAACATGAGGTATTTCACAATTCGTGAAACGGAGTTCATTTTTGTTTGTGGAAAATGTTTGATTTTCTTTTGTTTTTATGCCTGGGGGAATGTTAAACAAAAGCCTGTCATTTGATTATTTTTAAATTTATAATCAATACTAATATTATAAAGAGGAAAGATTTGTATTTTTGTATGGATTGAACTCAAAAATTACTGGGCTGATTTTAAAAATTCTTTTACCGTTAGGAAGGTAATTTATCTGTGTGTAACATAGGCTATGTTTTTTTTTCACGCATGCGAAGTCGCGAGCAACAATTAGTGTTTATAGTAGAAGTAAATACATTTTCTGTAAAGATTTCATCCAATTTCGGTCTAATTATGTAGGAAATTTGTCATAAAAAATGTTTTTTTACAAAAGTTAAAGGACCATTATGAACCCCATCGTCTCCATTTCTTATTTGGCAGTTTTGCCATTGTTAAGATTCGTTGTTTTTTTATTTTTTTTGTTACTTTTATTCTACTGACGCCAACAGTACAAAAAATATTTCATTTTTCATTTCCAGCGACTGTCCTAAGTGATA